GTAAAAATTAAAATCATAAGAAAATAATTAAAGTCCGTAAGGGGATTTATTGGACAGAGGTGACGTGATTAATTGGTTTTCTTGGATAAATTCGGGGAAAGCAATAAGTGTCAATGTTGTGCGTTCGCGATTCATTGGAAAAATTAATAATGAAAATTTTAATTAATTAATGCGTTGATGTGTACTTTGGTTGATTGCTTCAGGCATCTAAGTATGTATTGAATTTACGAGACAATCTCAGCTATATCCACAACATAAATGTAAATTCAAATTAATTTCGTACTTACTTAATCTAACATTGTAATTGCTATCAGCAGTATAGTAAGAATTAAACTATCAACTGCTTCAAAGCCAACAGCGACTGTTCGAAATATTATATTTTTGTCTAAACCCCAAAACAATTTTCCCGTTATTGAAACATCTGAGAACAAATGGCATCAATTTAATAATTCAGTTAAAGCAATCAGTTATAATTTGGGGCGTAGCGGCGGCGGGTTGAACTTGACCATTAATAAATGGCAATGATACTTCAAAGTTAACCCTCTCGCCGCTATGCTGAGGATAATGAGAGGTATCAGCCTCCACTTGTGTTTCAAATGTCTAATCTGATGGATTAAGCAGATTTTAGGGATGTAAAACAATGAAGCTCAAAACTTTAAACATTGCTCACGTTTGGGTACGATTAAATATTGTGTATGTGCTTACATGTAGTTAATAACTAATTGAAATGTGTATTTTTTAAAGTTATTATCGTAAAAATCATATAACGATAACATAACATAACATAACATCACGCCTTTTTATCCCCGAAGGGGTAAGCAGAGGTGCACATTATACCACTGTACAATGTAACACCCACTTTTCACTATTTATGTTATGAGTCCCATGTAATAGGGGGTGAGCCTATTGCCATATATCGGACACAATTCGAGACTCCGTGCTACTACTGAGAATATTCATAAACCCAGTAATACTTTGCCCGACCCGGGAATCGAACCTGAGACCCCTTGCCTGGCAGTCACACTTACGACTATTCGGCCGAAGAGCGGTCATATAACGATACAGTTGCTAATTAATTAATAGGTTTTGTTTTTGAAACCAATAGCTAATTCATCTCGTTTTCATTTACGAAGCAATTAACATTAGGATTACTATAGAAATAGAAATTTATTCGCAGGAACATGTGACTGTCTTTGTCAACCAAAAAGTACTTAGGCCAAATAGGCCAAGGCAATTTCGGCTAGTCTAAACTGGCCGAAATTGCCTCAAACACTTTTAGTGTCTACCAGATAGATTTGAGATGTGAAAAAACCAAACACTGAGAAACTATGTTATCCAGTGTCTTCAGACAGAACGGTACTAGTTACCATGCCTTCATAATTCACATCGCAATAAAACGGACATTAGAACCGTTACACACTTAAAATCGCATAAAATATCGCTCGCCCTAACCTTTTTAATGGTCTTGGCTCACCCTAGGGGAAAACAAAGCGGAAAAAAAACTTTGCAAAAAGTAGTGTATTCCTGTGATATTTATTATTATATTAAAAATGGGGGATAGATGGCAGGTTTGTAAAAAATCTACCTTTTAAAATACATTGCGTTATTTCTTTAGGTTTTCAAAACATGTTTTAAACTTAAGCGGTATTGGATTGTGAAATGATGTCAGAGTTTTGTGATTCTCGCGCTTCTTCTGTAGGGTCGTTCGGTAAGAATTTTGCCGTCGGCGAGTGTTGGACGATTACTGTACCGACCACGGAATTTATGGTCAAACTTCTGTGTGAAGGCGACGGCGCGAGTTTTTATTATGATCAGGCCAGTGGACCGTGAAAGCAAGTTGCCGCGGGGAGACGTAATTTCCATACCTCATGTCTGTTTCTGTCGCCCTGGTACTTTCTTAATAAAAGTTGCGGTTCTGTTTTATTATTACTAAATTAAATAAGTTGATGGTAACTTCGTTTCGTTGGTTTGTTTAAATGTAGATATGTAGTATTCTCTTGTTTATTCTCATGAATAAAATAAAAATGTCATCATTTTATGTTTCTGCATTATGTATGTAATGGCCTTGAATATTTTAAATGTTATTGGTAGTATTAAACACAACACAAAAGAAATACATATTCTTGTGGTTAATGGTTTGTATCTAACTAGTCTATTTCATGAATCAAATTAATTAAAACAAACTCACAACTTTGACTTTTGACGTTGATTTTGAGGAAAGATTGAGGAAAACTAAATAATGTTTTACTGTAATAAGTAAAAAAGAGAAAAACCAACTTTAATATCAACTAACATTTACCATCCTCCTACAGTTAGAACAAACTAAACAAAAACTCGGAACAGAAAAAATAAACCAATGAGAGGAAGAAAAAAAAATGAGAAAAGAAAAATAAACAGACGAATCTCCATACTCCCCAGTTTTGAAAAACTTGTAAGTTGAGAAGAAGTGAAAAATGGGAATATGAAAAAGAAATAATTTTCCGCGCGACTCGGCTGTGCAAATGAGCTGAATGAAGGAGCTGCTCAGGCGAATGATTGAACGGTACCGCTCTGATGAAACAATATTTAAGTACAAATCGTTAACTAGGAAAAATGTCGTCGAGATTCCTTGCAGCGTAAATATGTAGATTTACTGTTTACTCGGCAAGCATGAACAATGAGAACAAATTATAATGTGCGTAAATAAAGCACTAGAACAATACTTTTTTATAGAATCGGGGGCAAACAAGCAGACAGAATCACTTGGTGGTAAGCAATCAGCGCCTCTCAAGAGTTTAAAACCGAATCTATACCTAACATAACTACATATTATAAATGTTATAATTATTGTTAAAATTCTGGTCGTCATTTAGACAACGTTTTAGTAGGTAGTTGAGAGATTTTTTGTAGTAGCTATTCTTGATTGTTTGAACAGTAACTCAGACGTAAGGATATTAAAAAAATCAGGTAGCTATCGCACTGTCACGCGATTGTTATGAAAATGGGAGTAGGTAGTATGAAACTGTGTTAGTATGTGGTGCATTCTATGGTGTGTATCAGAATTCTGGTTGGAATAAAATCTAGCGAAGTATCTTACTATCTAATATTATAAATATGAGAGTTTGTATGTTTGTTTTGGGATCAGGATGAAATGTGGAACGGGATAGGTTTGGTCTAAAACAACACATAGGCTACTTTTTATCCACCGCTAGAAGGTAGTAGAAGCCAGTCTATAATTAATATTTCTTAAATATGTTGGATACTGATAGTGTAGTTCTAGTTACAGATGAAATGTAAACTTTCATAATGAACTATGTTACAAAAAACACGGTACTGAAGAAAAATGACCCCAAAAGCCTTAACAGGCCTTTAAATAAGAATTCATTCATTATTGTTTTCTTGAATTCCAGATTTAAATTAAAAAAAGTTGCCAGTGTTGCTACTGTAATCGATAATTCTACGTAATTAAAATCATAAGTAAAAATACAAATTCCAATTTCAAATGTCTGAATAACTTCTTTTTTTGAACTTCAATGTAAAACTGGAAATCATAGAAATGCTTTTGGCATTAAACAATACAAAAACGTAAGAATATTCACTGTCCATCGCAAATTAATATTCCCAAGTTACTATGGACATCTTACATGTTCTTTAATCGATCTCTGCTTTTGACAGAGACTCCATACAAGTAAAGTCAAAAATTTATCTTAATTCACAGATTTTGGGTTGAAATTGGTTTTTAATTTTGATTATACATCGTTAACGATATCCGTAAGGTAAGCTCGAGCTCGACTTGCATGGCCTATGGCCACTCCAATAGCACGCCACTAAGCAAGAATAATTTCTTGTTCAGGTACTTAGGTGTATCCTGCGTTTTGCCGGTTTCACGTTGTTAATTCTTTACAAAAAAATTGGCTATATCAGGCTATTAAAAATATGAGAGAATCAGATAGAGTAGAACAATGCTCAATAGAAATTGTTCTCGACTGCCAAGGAGTGGCTGACAGGCTCCAAGACGAATACACATAGGCTCATAAACTGAAAAGTTCCCATAACCAATAGAAATGACTTGTGTTGATTGATTACAATTTACATATGATTCGTCGATTACAGAGGCATCTGTTGTCGAGTTAATTAATTAAAAACTAAATTTTCTGCGCGCTTGGTACTTAACAACGCTGCCCGATAGCGACATCTAGTTTCAATGATTTGTAACAAAATATATTTTGCTTAGGCAACGGGCTGCAACGCCATCTGGTGGTATGGTTGTAAACTAATTTTGACGTGAATGAGAGAGCTCTCTTAATATTATGATATCCTAATACCGCAACACTGTTAGGAGTAAAATATCCGTTATTCATCATCTCGCACAGGTTTTTGGGCCGAGTCTGGTTGGCCCATATTGTTCAGGATGGCTCTCCTTGTTAGTTATGCAGTCCTAATACCTCATCAGTGCGAAAAGCTACATTGTGATGAAACAATTTTTGCTTTTTGGTAACTGTAGCGTGACAACGGCTATGCAGTAACTGAATGTTGTTGTTACCACTTTATATGTTCTGTGGTTGTTACTATTAAAATTTGACAGTTCTGTTGGTGATCATCATTTTTGTGTATATGCCATTCCATACACAAATTGCAAACATTTACAAAGTGAGATATTGGTACCATAGCCACAACAAAATAATTTTATTTTTGAAACAGCCAATTAATTACTGGTGTATGTGTTTTTAAGGATTTAATTTGCCATCCTTATTTAAATGGAAAGGAAATATAATTTTTTAAGATAATTGAATATCTATGCACTATGGTACCTTTATACACTATGGTATGATCACCGGCTAGAATGAATCGATTAAATCAAATTACCCACTATTTATTGATATTCGTAATTTCTTTGAAAATATTTACGGTAGGTGAATTTGATGATCTATCTATCTCTTTGGACCTTCAATTGGTCGTGACTACACGTATAATTTGTTAATCCCATTTTATTAACGATTTTAGTTCTTGAGGACATTAATATGGATAACATACCGTACCCACCCTTTTCAGGTGGATTTTCTGCTCTTTGGTTCGCTCAAATGGAGGCAGCATTTGATGCAAATCTAGTGTTTGACGAGATAGACAAGTATAAATACACTATAGCACATGTTCCTACGACGTACTTATCTTTAATTCAGGATTTTATACTAAATCCGCCAGATGTAGAAGACGTATACGAGGCTTTCAAGCACGAATTTATCAAGCGACTGACAATACAACATGTAAAACGCCAGCCTTATGGGAACGAAAAACCATCAGAATACCTGCGTAAACTTAGAAAAATTGCTGGTGGACGTGTTCCTGAAGACATTGTTTTAAATACCTGGCGGAATAATCTACCAGAAAATGTGCGTCAAATATTAAGTGTGGATAATACTCGTACTACGGATCAAATGTGTGAATTGGCAGATATGGTGACAGCAATGTCAGCACCAGTACCAGTACCTACACCTTCAGCGCAAGAAACATCTGAAAAAGCTAAAATGCAAGCGCGCCTGCAAGCCCTCGAGAAACGGGTCGGTATAATAATTCAACGTTACATCGGCGGTGAGCATATGCTAGGGTTGGCCGAGCAACCACCACCGCCGGCACAAAATAGGCTTCCAATGCTGGAAAGATAATATCTTCGGTGGCCAGGCCATAGCTTGCCACACTTCATGTCGATTCAAAAGTAACTCTATAATTTAATGGGGTTATAATTTTTATTATTTAGTATTTTAGTGTTCTATAAGGTGTCGAATTATTATTATATAATTTTACTTTTTATTATAAATTGCACCCTCATGTGATACGGCCGTGAGGGTATTATAAGTTGCATAAATACTCGAGTATCAATATTATAATATTACTTATGTTTGTGACTGTAAATATATTTGTTCTTGCGATTTGAATTTATATTAAATAAATGACTACCTACAAGAAAGTTATGTTTCATTTCTGCCTAAAAGTAACAAAATTAGCTTGCATTATTATAATAAAAAAAATTATAACCATTACAGCATAAATTAACACAATAAACCAACATGACATCATTTAAAGTTTAACATTTTTACGGTATATAAAACTCGACTAAAAAAACACGCTATAAACAGCATCAAACAAGAAAATTTTTTTAGAGGACAGCCGTGGTCGTACGCCACATTGTCCTAGAGTGCATAATGGCATATGACCACGGCTATCCTCTAAGGACATTTTCTTGTTTGATACTTTTTAAAGGGTGTTTTTTTGGATGCGGGTTTTAGTTTTATAACTTACTAGTTTCAGCCCGCGACTTCGTACGCGCAATCCCGTTCTTTCCCGTTCCCGTTCGTAAATTTCGATGAAAAGTAAAAAAATAAAATCGATGGAAAAGTATCCTATGTCCGTCTCCTGGTTCTAATCTATCTCCCCACCAATTGTAATCCAAATCGATGTAGCCGTTCTTGAGTTATAAGTAGTGTAACTAACACAACTTTCTTTTATATATATAGATTTTTTATTTCTATTAAAACTGCCATGTTGGCTGAGTGGTCGCAAGTCTCAGGATCGGTTCCGGGTCGAGCAAAGAACTATTTAAAAAAAACTCTCATCGGTATTGTGCTCGGTATATGGCAATAGGCTCACCCCCTATTACATGGGACTCATAACATAAATAGTGAAAGTGGATGTAACATTCTCCAGTGCCATTATGTGCCCTAATGTGCACCTCTGCCTACCCCTTCGGGGATAAAAGGTGTAATGTTACTCTTGTTGTATGTCGTAGCAAAATAAATGGTTTTTCTTTCTTTCTTTCTTTAATGTTATTATTTTGGGGTATAAGTTCAAATAACTAAAATATACTACAGTTAATTAATTAATATCCTCAATCAAAATCCTCGCTCTAAACAACGTTTTGTAAAGAATGGTGGTTTCTTGAGCAGGTTCCGTGGTAAGATTTCTTAACCTGTCAAATAATGAAGTACTCAAACGTCCCCCAATTTTAAGTCGCACTTAAGTATAGTTCTGTGCATAGAATAGTATAGTTCGGGTGTAATTCCTCAATTATTGCTACCTCTCATGAGTTATAGGTAATAAGCTATTATATAATATATAACTTTCAACGTAATGAGGGATAATAAGTTTAACTACTACTAAGGACTAATTTATTACATTTGACAAGTTAAAGTATATAATATATATATATATTTGAAATGTACTAGTTACGCCCTTTCATTTAATACCAAACACAATATAATCAGACTAACTTTTTTATTCACTATATTAACTTTCTTTTTGACCACTAAAAGGCGCCATAATTATGCTGTTTTACATAATTTTATGTAGTCTACATATAACGAGCGGACTATTGAGAAGCTTCTAAAATAATGATACCCCATTTATCAAATTATGACCAGTAGTTTAGGGGTGCGCAGGGAACAGAGAAAAAAACATATATACCGGTCATCAAAATCATAACCCTCCTTTTGGCTTCGGCATAATCGGGTCAAAAAAATTATCAGGTAAGTAAAATAAAGACATGCATAAATAATACTCATGGTTTAATATGTAATATATAACTTTATATTTTATAACAAATATAGAATTGCACACTGTATCAGAATGCATTGTAAGGTATTACAGAAATAATATTTACAAAGAGACATTATTAAAGCTACAATTAATTTAAATATCATTTAATTACTCAACATGTGACCTATGTACATTATTATAGGAAAATATTCTAAAATTACTTCATAAACCAGTCAATAAACAAAGGCAGTTGTATCAAGTTATACTTACAATACAAGTCCGCTGATTTCTTTTTAAATATCTACATTTTAGCTAAAATCCTATACGCATAACGAAACTAGCTTAATCTAATTTACTCTAAGTATCTGGATGTTAGCTAAAATGGTATTCAAAACTTCAGCGTAAAGTTCTTTTAACTCTTTATCAAATAATTTAATACTTTTAACATTGGACGGATTACTGGCTAACGCCTGAATACTGAAACGCTTACGTAGTACTTGAGTATCATGCCATCTATATCATTTTACACAGAACTATCCACAGTAATTTAATATCTGATCATTTTGAGCCATTTAAGTATTAAGGCATTAGTTCTTTGAGACTATCCTAAATTTACAATGATTTTAAGGCACTCAATCGACGGATACAGGTATTATGTAAAAAGTGAATTAATTTAATAAGATGTAGAACTACTGTCTGGTCGTAACTGTTTGGTTTGAACATCGTCGTACGCGATCGTGAACACACTTTTCTTCTCTGTTATTGGCAATCTCTTCATATTGTTCTGTTGTACCAACGTATTCATAGCAATACCTGAATCATTATCGTCTATCTTTGTTCTATGAGTTATATCAGGCACATTATCACCACCTATATTTATCTTAGACACGTGCACTTCTGGATTTTTACGGTCTTCTTCATAGCTTGTAGATATCGATATACTGTGTGTCAACGCACTTTCCATGATATCCTGTTTAGGTTCTTTGACATCGTCTTGATTTACATAAATTGGTTGTTGTTCTGGTGCCAATTTTCGTGGCATCGGTTGCTGCCCTAAATATTTTGGAATATGCGTAGGCTGAATGTAACACAGTGGATTTTGATTTTCATATTGATGTTCATACCTGTGTTCAGAATGTTGAAGTAATGGATGAACATCTGGTAAAGGACCTTCTGGTACAGGAGTCACCTTTTCTTCTTTCAGTATCCGTGGATGAATGAACTCATTTTCTTTTGATTTGAAGTTTTTTTTTACCTCTGAATCGCCTTGAGTATCTTTGCTCATAATTTTTCCATATCGACCTGCTTTGTCTTTATCGTCTTCGTTTTTTGTTTTAGATGGACGTTTTGGTTTACTGGGCACCACTTTTTCAGCAGGTGGGGGCTTAGCAGCACTTGATTTTTTACCATACCACTGCATGTAACGAGGCAAACTTTTTTGTGTTGGTTTTGCACTTTCTGATGATTTTGTTGACTCACTAGCTTCGTTACCTTTTTTGCTATTGGGTTCTACGTTACTTGAACTATCTAATTTAATTGAATGTGCATCTACATCTGATAATTTTGCCGAGGATTGTTCAGCTGCTATTTCTCGTGCTTCCGTTGATGAACCCTGTCTAGAAAATACTAAATTTCGATTGTCTTTGGAAGCCGAGCTGCTTCTACTTTTACTGTCATTACTTTCATGTTCAATGGCAAGAGGACTTTTCAATAGCGTATCATCAGTGGTCACAGAAAATTGTTTTTGTAATCTCAACCTTCTTTCACCTAAGTCAGATTCCACTTTTTCATCCAATGAATCGGAAATCTCCATTAAAACGTCTCTTCTGAGTCTTGACTTTCGATCACTATCTGAAATTTTTATCTGAGTAGAGGACACAGTTTCATTCTTAGAAGTGGTGACTGTACTTTTTGTCATGTCGCCGTAATTCCTAATGTGTTCTTCTCTCTCATTGGTTTTACTTATTTTTACATGCTTTTCGCTTTCCAATGAAGGAGAGACTTCACTCTCTTCGAGGATTGGCGTTTTTATTTTTCTACTTAAATCGTATACTCGCATGCTTCTTCTGGGATCTTTGTGTTTTAATTTTTTCTTAGGCTTTTTCTTTTTCACCCACGCTACTTTTTTAGTTTCATCTTCGACTACCATTTCTGATTCATCTTCACTGTATGAATCGTTGTCGCTTCTTGCTTTTCTTCGAGTTGGTTTCATAAGCTGTGGTTCAGTTTGTGTGCCAATATGACATTCTGTTTGAGTTGCCATTACGGAATGTCCAGGCAAGCTCTGAGTTTCTAGCTTACTTTCGACTTGAGAAGCGGTTTCATGATTTTGTAACATCCTTTCTCGTTCAATTAATATTTGGTGTAAAAGTTCATTTTGCTTTCTGAGTGATGATTCTAGTAACTCTTGATGTATAGTTGACTTGTTTTGCATTTCTAATAATGCAGATTGTAAGTAGTCTGCTTTCAGCGGTACCGTACCTGGTACTTCAGGCTGAAGGTTAGTATACTCGTTAAATTGATTCGGAACGTCACTTCCTACTTGTGACCTTTGTCCATAGCTCTTCGCATCTTTTCCATTCGATATGTTATCTAAATCAGTGACTTTACTCATCCGATCTCTAATATTTTTTGCTTCTTCTCCCTGTTCTCTTATAAACCTTTCCATTAGCAAGTTTTTCCCACTATCAACTACAACGTATTGTGTATGTGGTATAAGCGTAACTGGTCGTTGTTGTGGAACAGGTAAATTAACATAACGTTCTTCCTCATTCTTACCTCTAGTTACTAATCTTAATATCTCTGTATTTCCTTCTTTAATAAAATATTGATCCCTGCCTTGAGAAGATGGGGCGCGTAGTTTCTCTGGATATTCACGTTTAGTTTTATCAGTCTTATCGTGTATGTTCTTATCAGCATCAGACTTAAGGAAGACTCCGACTTCAGAACCGCGATCTATTTCATGTCTTCGAATGGAATCGTTATCTTGTTCTCTGCGTTGATAATGAAGTGTTGCTATTCTATCGTAACCATTTTCTAGGTCTTCGATGTATTCTTTGTGTTTATTAGCAAAAGCTTCTTGTAGTTGCATCTCTTTCGTGTAAATAATGTTGGGCCCGTCTCTGGAAAAAGG